CCTCCTCTTCTTCCTCCTCCTCCTCCTCGGCGGCTGCCAGCCAGCTGCCGGGCGCCTTCCTGGACGAGCTGCTTCACTGCGAGGTGACCCGCGTCCTCCTCCTCCTCTTGCTTCAACCTCCGCCGTCCAAGCTGTTGCCCGAACACGCCCAGACGCTGGAGAAGTATTCCTGGGAAGCCCTGGACGCCTCGCCGGGCTATGTGCCCTCGGAGCTCTTCTTGCTGCTCCAGTCGGCCGTCATGGCCTGCCAGGAGAAGGACTTGGAGGCGCTCCAGGTGCTGCAGAAGGAGCTCTGGCCGCTGCTGACCGCCGAACAGAACCACCTCCTCCATTTAGTAATACAAGAGATGATCAGCCCTTCCGGCCAGGGCTTCTGACCGGGGACTCCTTTGCAGGCCTAAGCCTGGTTTTTCCAAGACTTGCATCTGCGCCCCTTGGATTCTTGAATAGGTGGTGCTGACTTCATCAGGATGTTACAGAGTAATATCCTGAAAGAAAATAAAGAGACAGCAGTAATCAGATTTAGCTTTTCCTAGCCCCTAATTTGCTATTTGCTTGAACAATTATACATTTGTTCTGCATCTGTGCATGACAGCCCTAATATGGGGATGTATTTACTGCCACTCCTTATACAAGTGAGTCATATGGGGCTTCTGTTGGTCCAGTTTCTTCTGCTTGTACTTGACAGGACTTGCTTCTTCCACACTCACAGGAGCATTCTTGCATCCATTTGCAGTGTTGGCTCAATAGTTATCTGTAGCAATAGAGCAGATGGTTTCCTCATTTCAGGGGTGAAGATTGTGACCCCTATATGTTGGATTGCATTTTCTATCATCTCTCACCATTGGTTCTACTGCCTACGGCAGATGGGGCTTGCAGTTCGACACATTCCCTCATCTTGCCTTGTTTAGGCTGAGACTATTACACAGGAAGATTTAACCACCCTTTTTCCAAATATTATGTTTTCTGTTGCATTTCATTCGTTACAGAAACTGCTTTGTTTTAAAGGCAGTAGACATAACAAGAGCAAAAACACGTTGACAGTACTGTAATGATTGTGAGAATTTTGAAACACAGATACTTTGGTTTCCTATTAAAATAAATCTGAATATATTGTGCTATGCTGCATTGTATGATGTGCTGTTGGTTTCTAGCTTGAAAAAATGTTCTAGTTGCTAGGCATGGAAGAAGGCCTTCCCTATGATGGCATGTAATTTCAAGCTGTCCTCGCTATTGGTTTTGGTGACTTGGAATGCTGGGAGTTACAGTCTAATAACATCTGGAGGAGTGCCCAGTCTTTGTATTCAAAGACACATTTGTTATAATAATATGAATAGCTAAATTGTTTTTTTTTCTGCCAGTAATATGGTGTCATCTGCATATCTTAAACTGAAAGATGGTAAATATGCAGATTTCCAGACATTGTTAGAAATCAGCTCCCAGAATTCCCCAATTATAACTGGCTCTGTTGACTTGAGCAGCTTCTGCTGTTTCCTGACAGCCCAGATCTGCTTCCTGAAGTGTCTGCCTCAGTTTGCCTCTCTCCTAGAGGTGGCCACACAGGATGCTGTTCATTGAACATTGAACCAGCCTAAGAGGTTCTTGGCCTTGCATATACATTTCTCATCTGCTTTGAGCACAAATGTACATCCAGCACAGTGTGCCACCCAACATGTCTCAGAAATGAAAATGTAAGGTTGTACGTTTTGAGAATGGTATGTTGGGAGTTGAAGGCCAGCAACCTCGGGGAGGCCCCAGTTGGCATCTTTGCTATAAAGTGGGCTTGGTTCTTAATAAATACAGAAAATATAAGCAGTTTAAAAAGAAGTAGTGACTGCCACCAATATTTTCAACCTGTGCAGGAATTGCTAGTTGTTTAGCAGAAGGTCAAAGAGCTGCCACCGAAGCCTGCTTCTGACCTTTCCACACTGTGGGCCAGAAGATATTTTAAATATGCATTTTTATTTTGCCCCACCTTGAGAGCCAAAAGAGCTCAGTATCTGGTGTTAGATGCTTTGGACTCCAAAGCAGGTATTTCACATGTTATATTATTCTGGGTCAGAATCATTTTAAACACTGCTAGCCAGCACCAATGTCTGCAGATAGCAACACCTTATTTCTGGTTAGGGGTGCCAACTGAGTATCTTCAAGGAGGGACCTCATGGAACAATTGTAAAATATGTGCACAAGAGGGTTCAGGCAAGAACACGTATGAATTGCATATCAGGCGAAATCCAAAGAAACAAAACCAAAAAGACAAACATTTGTGGTGCATGTCCACGAAAGCTCACATTAAAATATAGCAGTCTATAAGGTGCCATGACATTTTTGTGGTTTTTGCTTTTACCAGAGAGTGTTGAGCAGAAGGCTAAATGTTCTCTCTCTCCAGCGATACTTGCTATGAGATTTGGTTGCCTACTTGGTGACCTGTGATAGCAGAGCAAGTTCAAGACTCCAGCATGGCAAACCCTGCATCTCAGTTGTGGAAAACCCAATCTGCATCACTGTTACATGGTTGGTTTGCTGATTACACAAATCAAGCAGGTGAACTGCATTTCTGGACAAAAGATTTCAGGGCACTTCACTTAAACGTTACCACAAAAGCTCAGCAGTTCACCTCATGCGAACTAGTGAGCTGATGCTGCAGAGGAGAGATTCAAACTACAGCCCTCTTAGTCTATAACTTGAAACTGATCCGCTACGAGAGCTGCCTGACTTTCATTTCTTTGGTTGTCTTGCCAAGCAGGTGGCAAGCTACAGCCTTTGTGGCAGCTTTCAACGCTTTTGCTTCCCTTTTCATAAAAGATAAGCATTGGAACTGAGGATGTCCTTTTTAAAACAGAATTGTTATCCTCCACAATTAAAGTTTGCTTTAAGAGTGAAAGGTTCCTCTTTGTGGCACAGCTTCTGAGAATGGAGAACACTCAAGCATTTCATGTGCCCAGTCACACAACCACAAGCAAAAAACTACTAGTTTTTGCTTTTTCCCCACATTAAACCTTTCAAAAATGTTGGTGTGTTCTGCTTGCTTTTTGTATTCTGTTTTTTCCTCAGTTAGAATCATAGAATCGTTGAGTTGAAAGGGGCTTATAAGGCCATTGAGTCCAACCCCCTGCTCAAGGCAGGAATCCAAATCAATGCAGATCTGACAGAGGGTTTGTTCAATGTTCTCTTGAAAGCCTCCAGCTTTGGAGTGCTCGCCACCTCCCTGGAGAATTGGTTCTGTTCCTGTACTGATCTAACAGTTTCATTTCTGTGTAGCTCTAAATTAAATAAATATACCTGCTAGAATTGTACCCATAAGAGAGGATGTGTGTGTTATTTTTAAGCAATGTTTTAATTTGAGTGCCTATACATGAAAAAATGTAGGTACTTTATCCCAAATTAAAATCATTTAAAAATAATCAGAAATCATTTTAAAATAAGCCCTATAAAAACATCATTATTGGAAAAAGACATTAGTGAAGGTGCACTTCAATAGATGCATGACAATTGAATACAAATCTGTCTCACATCCTACCTCCTTTCTTTCAATACTAGAAATGGACTCTTATTGTTATAGCCAAATTAAATTTCCTGTCTAGTCCTGGGCAACTGGTTTGCTAACCTGACCGAAATCTCAAATACCACCAGAGATTCAGCTGGAGAAAGGAGGAAATACTGTGTGAATTAGACGAGCAACCAGCTATTAAGTGTGCCATAAAAAGCTGTAGTCAAATCTTCCCTCAAAACCATGTACCTTGTGCAAAAATTAGCAGGGTATGCCTTAGGTGCTGATGTGCTCAAGGACTCAGTGCTCTGAGACTACTGGGCTGCTTAGATTTCTTCCTCTAGGCTAGGGTGTTGGTTTTTTAAAATGTACTTCTGCATTCATGCATGTCTAAGGATATTAATCTCCTGCATGTGAATGTTATTGTTTTCACTTCCTAATCAGCGAGAGCAGCTGCTGAGCACTGGAAATAGAAAAAGCAATACCTGCGGAGACATAGAGTCAAACCTCTGATTACGTGCATAGTTTTTCAACATAGTGTCCAACTCCACCCCCTCTGACTACCTCTGGTTTTGTGTAAGCCAAAAGAGAGCTCTCTTCAAGCCTGAGGTCTTTCTACCGTAGCTTCAGACCCTGCTAGACCCAGGTGCACTGGCATGAGTCGATATAGAAAACCACATCTGTCTCTTGGCTGACAAAACAGTACCTGCACATCCAGGTAAGCAGATCAGGATGCTTTTGAAAACTTTAGCAAGACCCTGCTGGATTTTCTAAAAGGGGAGAGAAATGCAGGCACTGAACCAGGTGAGATAAGTGGTCTCTGATTGAAGGCAAACTTAGAATCATCTGGACCATGTTGGGAGGATGTGAACAACCTTTGACATTGAGGAATGTCAACATTGCCTTATCTCTGCGTCTTCCAGAGGCTCTGGACTACAAATCCTGTTGTCCACACCCAAATGTCATTCAGGCTGGTTGGACTGATGGGAGTTGCAGCTGAAAACAGCCGAGGAAGCCACGAAGCTCTTCATGATGCGCGTGGTGACTCAAATCTGTATAACTTGATTAAAAAGCAAGTAGGCAGGTTGGTCATAAAGGCAGTGTAGGGGGGTGTCTGCATGGGAGTAGTTTGTGCACCCCTGTGCACAGAAACACTAAATTGTAAACATGCATTCATAGCTAAATGTTAATTATTTTAAAAGACTTTTGTGATTCTACTGTTGCAACATGTGTTGCTTGTGGAATCAATTATGATTTGTTTAAATTTTGTATTATGTATTTCTCTGAACATGGAGAAATTTTTAGACTAAAGCCCTTAAGGTGGATATTGGGTGTTGTAGATTCAAAAGGGATTTCCCCCAAGCTCTGGTATTTCTCATGCATTCTGTACAGAGTACTTAGGTAAGCCAATATATGAGATATGCCTGTTAATTTTTATTATATTTTAATTATTTATTTATTAGATTTTTATCCCACCCTTCTAGACTATGTCTACTCAGGGCAGCTGTTTAGATCTCAGTCTTTATTTACACCCTCTCACTTTCCTCCTATGATTCAGTTGGCTGTTCATCTTAAACAAAATAGCTCTGTATTGGTTAATAATAATAGTGTGCCATCTAGTCAATTCTGACTTATGGTGACCCTTTTCTGGATTTTTCAGGTAGAGAATACACAGAAATGGTTTACTCTCCCCCCCTTTTTCCCCCAAGACCACCCAGGCTGGCTCTTCTGGGAGGCACAGTGGGGGAATCAAACTCCCAACCCCTGGTCTCGCAGGCAGATACCTAAACCACTGAGTAGCCGGCTTCTGTATTGGTTAGACTCTCTAAAAATAATAGATTGAAATACAGTCCTGTGAGGATCGATTCAGAAGTCAGATTCACTGGATCAAAATAAATTCCTAAAAGAAGTACATGAAAAATGTTATTGTTATTCAAGTGTGCCATACGTCTTTAGCATAAATAACAGAAAGTTTGAATGAGAAGTAGAAGCATGTTTTAAATCAGCAACACTAAGTGAAGCACAGATCTATTAATCGTGTGGCATTTTCATGCTGGTCCGCTACTGTAAAGCAGAATTAATAAATGAAAAAAGATTACTTTTTCCTTCCTAAATAAATGACACTTTTCGGTTGACTAAATAGTGTGAGTTAGGTTGTCTTTAATATCTCAGAATGCATGCTGAATGTTTTGATATTACAGTACGTCCAATCAATCACCTAATAGGAATGTCATTTGTCAACTAAGTACAGTGGACCCTCGACTTACAGACGGCTCGACTTACAGACTTTTCGAGTTACAGACTTCTCTGGCTGCAAGATTTAGATTCGACTTGCAGCCGGAGAATCGACTTACAGACCAGAAAAAAACCAAAATGGAACAAAAATAGAATAAAAACCGCTGGTTATGGGATTAATTGGTTTTCAATGCATTGTAGGTCAATGGAGATTCGACCTACAGACTTTTCTACTTGCAGCCACCGTTCCGATACGGATTAATTCCTTAAGTATATGGTCCACTGTACATCTTCATCCACATTCTCAACAACAAAGGCTTTATCTGCCATATTTTCCAACTGGTAATAAGCATGAGATTGGTTTTATTGAAGCAAGCTGTCATTGGTTACGTGCAGCCATGTTTTGAATGGGATAAACCATGGGAACTAGCCACATGGCTCATATGTTCTTCAGATATGCTGTTACCAGCTGGCAGTACACTGACACCTGTGGTTCGGTGGAAACAGCCACTATGTTCTAAGCATTATTGTGTTGAATGAGGACTTAGAAGGCCCGAGTTCAAATTCTCAGTGAGTTACAAAACTCACGTGGTGGTCTTGCACTATTCACACACTCTCAGCCTGATCTATGTCACAGGTTGTGAGGATGAATCAAGGAGGAAGAGGAGGAGATAACTATGCTTTCTTGAGTTTGCTGAAAGAATGATAGGATATAAATGTAGCAGTTCACTCTTCTGTTGCATACCTCTGCTGGTACAATGAGAGTGATGTAACCGGAGGTGACAGATGTCTGCTAATTAAAGTGTTTGTGACTTAAACTGATGGTTAAAAGGGTGAACTTCAGCTGAACATTGAGGGTTTCCCGATAAGGCAAGGCCTACGTGAGAAACCGCAGACCTGCAGTGCTAGATATTTTTGCTCAACCTTCCATTCCAGGAAATAGATAAGTATGATGTGTTCAAGTGAAGCTGATAGTGATCAGCCAATCATGTAGTAAATTGATAGGGATGAACCAATCAAGTACTGTAGAAACTTTTATGACTTTTTGTGTAGAAGGAATAAATATCTGTTGAAATGTGTAAAAGGAGCTCTCTTGCTTTTAGAGAGGACCACCAGCTCAGATTCTCAATAAAATTGCATTGTATCTTTGCTAGCTGTGTCTTGTCACAGTCTCCTGCCAGAGTAAGCCTGGACTCATAATTTGGGTTAACAGGACAGTGTGTGACTTCATCTCATTGCACACAAGTTGTGCACAACCCAACTTTGTAGCAGGGAGTTTTTAACTAGTGGCGATCTGCCACTGCCAATCATGTCACTCCTGTTAAGCCAGCAGAGCTACGCAATCGGATAACTGGTCACCAATTGGCAGATGAACTAATGACATTGCTTATTGGTTGCTTCCTGTCCCCTTCTCCCCAGGGTTATGGATACCATTTCCTCTCCTGGTGAGACCTTGAGGAATAGCTCCAATGAAACCGTCTGCGAAATCCAGGATGGCTTCTTAGCAGAGGCTCTGCCTGCCATGTACTCCATCATCTCCATCATCGGTTTCTGCAGCAACATGCTAGCCCTCTGGGCCTTCCAGTTTGGTACCCAAAAGACAACCTCCATCACTGTATACATGAAGAACCTTGTCATCTCCGACCTCCTGCTCGCCCTCTGCCTGCCCTTCCGGGCAGCGTATCAGAACCAGAGTGGCCCCGTAATCCTTTGCAAAGTGGTCGGCATCGTCTTCTATATCACCATGTACGTCAGCATCTTTCTACTGAGCCTCATCAGCTTGGACCGCTTCCTGAAAATCACCAAGCCCTTCCAACAGTTCTGGATCCACACCGTGTCGCACAGCACTGCCGTGGCCAGGGGTGTGTGGCTCCTCTGTGTTGCCGTCCTGCTAGTTCTTCTTTTTGAAGACAGCCGGAGAGGGCCCTGTAGCCACAAATGCTTCCACTTCAAGAACAGAAGCACACTGGGAGCGGTGTCCAACATGACTGCTGTAGCCGTCTTTTTCTTTCTGCTGCTGTTCTTCCTTTATGCGTACAGCAAAATTTCCCTTAAGCTCCATAGTGTCTCCTTAAAGAAAACTCAGCAGTGCAGTAAAAAGACAGGTTCTCGAGCCATAAGGAAGACCTTTGTTGTCTTGGTCATCTTTATCGTCTGTTTCACCCCCTACCATGTGGTCCGAGTGCCTTACATTCTAGCCCAGGTGGACATCATCTCAGCTGTTTGGAAGAAACAGGCTCTCCACCTTGCTAATGAGCTTGTTCTTTGTATCTCCACCCTGAACTGTTGCTTGGACCCCGTGATTTTCTTCTTTCTTTCCAGCCGTTTCAGGAAAGCTATACTGGCTGCTCTCCCTAGAAAGCTGGGAGGAGCTCTTTGGAAGAACCAGGAAGATTTAAACCACGGGAAATCCATCACGGAATCAAGGATCTGCAGAGCTGAGATTGTGGGAGGGCTGCTGGCTCTCAGACATTCTAATCAGGATGTTAGGAAGGAATGTAAACATATCTAGGAAGCAGCAAGATGGGAAAGGCTGTAGTTGAGTCCTGAATAGCAGAGTCTTCCAGTCGGGACATATTTATGAGAAAACCCTGGGGAGAATAAAAAGAGGACATTTCTGGCTCTTAGGGCTTCAGCATTACTCAGTCACGGTTTTCCAGAATAAGATATGTATATGCAGAATTGTATATGCTTTGGCAGCTGCAGTATTGCTACATGGTGCTATATTATGTCCCTGGTCCAATTATGGGCTCAATCACATGTGAGAAAAGAACCCCAGTTATACCAATTCCTTTCATCCCTCTCTGATATGGTATGTTTTTTTTCCAGTGGTCATGTGGTATATATATATATATATATTGGCAGTGGTGTTTACATTGTTTTGAATGGTATCAATTCATTTCTTTCTATTTGAACCATTATAGCAGACTATGCTGCTCTGTAATTTTTAATTCATTCATTTTCTCTACTGATTTTTGAGGCAATCGTGCTCCCTTTCCTTTATTTTTATTTTTTAATTGCAAAAACAGCATATTGATGAAGTGGTACAAGCCTTCTCCTCCTCCCCTTTTCCCTTCCCTCCTTCACTCACCTGTCCTCTTTTCCTTATTTCCCTGCATATCTCTCCCTCTCAGTTCTTGGCTTTCATTTTTCTTTCCCTTTTGAACAGTGTCAGGAGGAGGAAGTGGGTTTTTAAATACTTGCAATGTATTGTGAAGAGCAGGGTTAAAACAAATGAGATATAATGCAATGCCCCTTTCTTTACAGTTCAGGGCAGGAAATGTCCCTTTTTCTGGTTAAGCCTTCTTTCACTTGCAAGTGAGAGAGGAAGGGTATCTCCTTCTAAGCAGTGTATTCATGTTCTTTTTGTGGTGGCGGTGGTGGCAGCTGCTACTAGCGATTTTTCTAGTGGCTACAGCACCCCAATACCCAACCTTTTCACAAAGGAAATAAATCGACAGCCATATTCACACATGCTGAAATGATAAGGAACGAATCGATACTTCATTGCCACAATTTAAAATCAGCCTGCCAGTGAGGCGGAAATAATCTGATTGCTGGGGCAAATCAATTGATGTTGACTGTGCACTGTGTGAATGGAAAATTATGCAATTATCTAAATAACGGCCAAATCGGTCTAACTTAGGTTCCTTTGGCAGGTGTGATTGAACCCTAAGGGCATAATATAACCTCTGTACTATTATATTATTTTAAAAAAACCACACAGCTAAAATGGTACCAGCCGGAAGGATGATAGCAGAGATATATTCTGAAAGCAATATGGCAGATGCTGCCTTAGTAAGACTTCTGTACTTCAAACATCATTATGCAATATTGAAACTAGATATATTCAGTTCATTCTGCTTGGCCTCTAAATTCTAGGATATTCCATTTTAAGAGTTCTGCTTCCCAGAAAGATACCCAAATAGTGCTCAGGTGAAGAAAGGCTGGGCTGGAAGGTCACATAGTCCAGGATCGGCTTAACCTTTGGAAACATAAACTGTTCCCGTTAGTTGCTGGGTAATTTGCCATTTTCAGCTGTATGGTACAAAACAGTTACAGATGTGGTAAAAAAACCTCAATGAAGCCGTAGAGTTCTGACTGGAAAGGCAAATGGAATGAAATATTCTGAACTAAAGATCCATTTTGTCGCAGGTCCTCCTTGATTTTGTTAGGATCAGTCGGGGCCAGCTCCTCCATTCATCCATATAGTTGGTCCACTGACTGATCGCAATCCTCTGCATTTTGACCTGAATTTAAACTCTATTCAATGAAGTAAGCACTTACTTCTGGGTAAATACCCCTAGCGTTCAGTTATACTCATCAGACTTTCAAAAGCATGTCAGCACCTAATGCTCACCCGGCAAATTTTGCACAAAGCTTATGGTTTTGAGGGAAGGTTGACTTCTGCTTTTTATAGTTCAATTTGATTCGTATCTGGTTGCCTATATCATTTGTGTTTCCTCCATTTCCCCCGCCACTGTGGTATTTGAGAACTAGGTCAGGTTAACAGACCAAGTGGGAGATGAATTTGGTCACACCAATGAGACTGTACTTCTCTTCCAGGAAGGGAGGCAGGAAATGAATCAAAATTTTATTCAACTGCCATGCGTCTATTGAGGTACATCTTCACCAATACCTTTCCCAGTACTGTCATTTTAATAGTTTATTTTCAAATAATGCTAAATTTGTGCTGTAGTAAGTACCTGGTTGTGGAGCCAGAGGTTGGGAGTTTGATTCTTCAGTGTGCCTCCTGGGAGTAGAGCCACACGTAAGCCCAGAACAAAAGGAAATACAGTGGTGCCTCGCTTAACGATTGCCTTGTTAAATGACAAAACTGCTATACGATGACTGTTTTGCGATCGCAAAACGATGTTTTAATAGGCAAAATTCGCTTCCCGACGATTGGTTCCCTGCTTCGGGACGAGGTTTTTAAAACAGCTGATTGGCGGCTTCAAAATGGCCGCCCGCTGTGTAAAATGGCTCCCCACTGTGTTTTTGGACGGATTCCTCGCTTTACAGGCACTGAAAATGGCCACCCCTATGGAGGATCTTTGCTTGACGGTGAGTTATTCAGCCCATTGGAACGCATTGAATGGGTTTTCAATGCGATGTTTTTATTTTGCTGAACGAGGATTTCGCTCTACAGCGATTTCACTGGAATGGATTATCCTCGTTAAGAGAGGCACCACTGTAGTATCACAACCATGTAGTTATTGGCTGGTCATATGGAGAGGTGCTCAGCATTTTCAACTAGAAACCTTTTAAGTGCACACTTCTGAATTACAGCAGAAAATTCAAAATACCTCACCAAAGGGCAAATCCCGGAATCTTGCAGGATGCCAACTTCCTCAGTGCCCAGCGGAGCCAAAAAGCCTGCTGTGCTGCCAAATACATCCTTGCTTCCAGTCCTCCTGAGGGCAAACTCTACTTCACTGGCAAATGTCATGTTGTGCTGAGCTGAAGACAAACTTGATGCTTCTGCAAAGGGACCTCTCATTCTGCTGGGCTAAATATAACTCCCCCAATACCATGGGCTTCTGTGCCATGTGGTAAACCCTCCTAGGGGGACTCAATTTGTGGGTGAATAACTCGGAGGTCTGATATCCAATCTTCACCAAAGTTGGCAGGCGTGTTGGGGAAAGAAATAGGAAGCTCTGTTGTGATTCTGGAGTCTCTAGGTACTTGGGGGGAGCTTTCCTGGGGGGGACCTCTTTGTGACTATATAACTTGGAGGTTCATGATCCAATGTTCACCAAACTTTCAGGAGTTGTAGAAATGCCTCTGAGGAAGCTTCCCTGCAAATTTGGTGACTCTAGGTCATGGATTCGTTGCATTCATTGATTTATTAACTTTGATGAATAACAGATCAAAACGAACACCCATTTTTTTATTCGTCCCCATTTCTAATTGTGATTAGTGCTGTCAAAGACCACGGGGGTGGGGAGCTATATTTTCAAGTTACTTTGAACTGAGAAAAGGAAAGCCATTCTTTGCATAAAACCACACATTTAAGCAGAACTCAGCTGTCAGTTAGCTACTGCAAAAACAGAAATGCCACTGATTTTTTTTATTCTTACCAGAGTGGGGTGCAGGAAAAAAAAATACACATACAAAGCCTGATCAGTTATATTAAAGAGAAAGGATTCTCATCCAGAGCATTGTATGCCTGTATTTTCCGAGGAGAAATTGACTAACACTGACTATGTTAATACTCTTCCTTGTCTGCAAAATGTGCGTAGAGATAATTGGCGCAAGACAGCACCCAAGAAGTGCGCCTTGCAACAGACCTTCTGTACCAAAAAAAAAATCACCCTCCGTTTATGCATCACATGCTCCAGCTAATGTGAAAACCCAGGGGCCTCTGGCCCTGCATCCAGGCCAAAGCAAGAGCCTGGGAGGGTGTGCATCATCTCCTGATGATGCTGGAACTACAAATCCTATGGTCTGTGGCCAGTGGGCATGCCTCCTGAGGCTCAGGGGAGGTCAGGCCAGGGAAAGTGTGGACCCAACAGACCTTGCTTTGAGCCAGTGACAATCATGTAAAGGCTGTGTCTGCCTCAACTAGTGTCTTCAAATCGGGCCTGTCTTTGCACACGGGGTGAACATCCTATTGTGAATAGCCACACACGTAAGTGTGATCACAGAAGCAGATTTTGCATTTCTAGGTGTTTCTAGAGAAGGTTTTCCCCTCCACTTTGATCGAAGAGAGGAAACTTTCAATGCACCTGTATTTGACAAAGGAAGAATATTTTGATGGGTAAATGACCGTCTTGGATTCCTTGGCCTTTACGAGGCCTCTTTTGGGGCAGCTTTACATGCCCAAAATCCTGCTTGCCTCAAAGAGGGTCATCCATCCACCCACCCTGACTCTAGTCCTTCTTTGGCTGGGATCAGAGGGCAAGGAGCTATACTTCTGCCCTCCTTCCTCAAAACACAACCTAGAAAGTTTTCTCACAAGCCCAGCAGACGCTACTGAGAAAGGATTGCTAATGCTCATGTGGCAGAAGTGTGCCAGCCATAGGAAATGGACTGAATTGAGCTCAGCAGAAGTTGCCCACAGGGAGGGCAAGGGGCCAGCCACTGGGGACTCTGCGGCTTCTTTTGGGTTTGCAGCCACTATGCAGCTGCCTTCTGCCTGTACCTACAAATACAGCTAAACATCTTGTGGGCACTGGTCTCCAAAGCACATCACGATGATAAATGCACAGACAGATGTGTGAGACAACCCAGGCCGTAGGTAGAGACCCAACATCCAAAGACGGGAATTCAGCGTAAAAGGGTGAGAGGGAACTTCTGACATTCCCCAGGTGAATGGCTTATATTTGCATCTCGCTAGCAGTTATCTCAATTAATTGAGCCTTACAGAGAGCCACCTTAGGAGACCCCAGATTTTAGAACCGCCTTGGGTCCCCAGATGTTCTTGGACTGCAACTCCCAGAAATCCTGGCCAGCACAGCTGGCGGCAACAGCTTCTGTAGTTCAGAAACATCTTGGGGGCCCACGGCTGGGTTCTAGACCATTGTTCTAGACCAACAGCTCCTCCCTAAGACTACAGCTCAGCTGTCACAAGAGCGACTAGCAGAGATAATTTCTGGGCTTAAGTACCCCACGACATTTACTCTTAGTTCTAACAGGTTTGCTTTCCTGGCTAAGGGTTTGCTACAAAGCCAATTGTGGACAGAGACAGGGGAAGCCTACAGGCCAGAAGTGGGCCACGTCTGTACCACTCCAGAGGTGCTTAGACTGCAATTGCAATGATCCCTAGCCAAAAGTGATGGATGATGGGATTTGAAATCCAAGAACATCCAGAGAGCCACAAGCTGTCCTCATTACTGCAAGTCAATATGACTAGTTTTCGCTGAACTCCCGCATCTAAACAGGTATAGCTTCTTGTCTTGCATCAACAGTAAAGCAAACAGCAGTGCTTCTTGGGGAAGAGAAACAGTGGACAAGACAAGAAAAAGGAAGTGCATGAAAGATGATTCAGCTGCTTTGCTTCCCCCCTCCCCCCCATGTACAAAAGATCGTCGATATTTTGCTCAAGGTGGTGCGGGGTGGGGGTAAAAGGCATAAGGTGGAGGAAACAGGGAAAGTGAGACGGCTTTATAAGGGCCAAAATGCGCTTTACAGATCTGGGAAAGAAGGGTGCCGAGCACGAACTTCCTTCCCCAGTTTAACAGCTCGCCTCCCTCCCTTTCCCACATTTCCCGAAGCAGCTTCCTCATCAGCATGGCGAGTTTAGGCCACCAGCAGGCAGTAGAGAGAAAAGACGCGGAGAAGCCTAACTCTTCAAACACCGGCACTTGTGCATTTTTGGAAATGTCTGAAAATGGGAGAGGGAGGATCAATTTCTGATCCTATGGATCAGTTTTGTTGCATCTGACATTCTTTGCAAAACAGAGATTGCCGCATTTCCAAGAACAGCATACGTTCTGAAGTCTTGGTGCACCTGCCCGGCAAGCCCGGTTTCGTTGTCAGTTTCAAGAACAACAACAACAACAAAAAGGCACAAGAGCTACCCTGGAGTGTGGTGGCACTGATTCTATCCTGACTCAAGCTGCGCTAATTGGTTGTGCCTATAAAAATCCAAGACAGCCAGACAATCAGGGAGCACAGAGCGGTGTGTGGGAGGAAAAAGGCGACGGAGAGTGCTGGATGGCTGACAATCAAGTAATGCTGTGGGGACCTCTCCTCCTCTTGCAACGGGAGGCCGGGTCTGTGAGGTATTCCAAATGCTCTCCTTTCCCTGGATCGGCCGCCCACCACCAGGCGTCCGGGCAGGATCAGGCTTGCAGCCCCAGGAAGCGGGCGGTGTTCAACACATCGTCTCTTGTCAGGTAGCAACCACAGAGCTGCCGGTAACCCGTGAAAGACTCCCGGCCGTGCAGAACGCGCCAGTTGTCCACAAACAGGGCCTACAAGAAGAAAAAGGAGAGAGTGAAAAGAGAAGTGTTTTCTGTACCTGATCATTGTTAAATCCTCTCACTCAATGCCTTGAGTCCCCTCCATGGGGAGAAAGGCGGGCTACCGATGGCACTAGGTAAATAAATAAATTCTTTCTGGTGCCTAGTAGATGGAATGTGTAGCCCGGATGGAAATGTAGCCCATGTTCCCATCATACTTTTGGGGAACAAGAGAGGAGCACAGGAAGCTATGTTGCACCAGATCAGCCTAGTTGGCCACCTAACCCAGCAGGAGGGCCAGTCCTCTCTCATGCATTGTGGTGCAATGGCTAGACTATGTTTGCAGCCCCTCCTCCTGCAGGTATTTAAAGCCAGGCCCCTTGCCAAACGGGGCACCTCTGCGTGGGCCTCGGCATTGTGCAAAGTGCGACGCAACGGGCACATCTGCACTTGATGTTGAAGGAGGAGCTGTGTGGCTCCTGAGCCTCCAGGAGGACATGGGAAGTTTACTGTCCCCTCGGCAGGCAATCCCATTGAAGCCCTGGCTTGACTTCTAGAACGGGGAAATGGCCAGGAATGTGGACACAATCACTCCGAAGTGTCCCCTTCCAGAAGGTAGAGCCAGACGCCTCTCCTGGTTTGCTCGGGAGCTGGTGGTGGTGAAACAAGTGGGGCAGAGACCAGGGTGACGATGGTGGAAAACCCAAAGGGAATCCGACCGACCACGGGCTAGGGCCCACCTCGTGCAGAACGTCCACGCTCCTGTGAACATCTACGAAGTTGTGCATGTCACAAATGCAAATGTTTCTGCTTATGGGGTCACCTGTGAGAAGCTCCAGGGAAGTCTTAAGAAACCTCTAACTCTTAAAGGAAACAGGGGAACAAGGACAGGCAACCTGGAAGGAAACAGCTATTCCAAGATCCAAAGCCCGCTGAGGTAACAGAAAGGACCTCCACCCTCGGACCACCCCACTTAAAGCCACCCCAAGCTTCTCGGAGGTGGGAAGAGGACAAAAATGGACCAAGTGGGGGGAAAAGGTCACTCTGCCAGCATGGCGAAACCACCCTCGCCCGGCCCCGCTGAAGCCAGAGGCCGAGGCTCGCCGTGCGACGTTACCTTGCCCGGCTTCAGCTTGACCCAGAGTTCGTTTTCCGGCCTCCTCAGCTCGGCAGTGAGTGTGCGGTGTGCAGCGTACCAGCGGTGGACCATGTCGTAGGGCACGGTGTTGATGACAGCTCTGTCGTAGTTGTTGTACCTGAGGGGCAGGGGAGAGGAAAGGCTCTCAGAGCAGAGATGGCAGGGTCGCTGTGCGCGCGTGCACCTTTGGGAGCCCCACAGCGGGGCCAGAGAAGAGCTCAGGGATCTTTTTTGATGGGGTGGGGGGCGCTTCTTTATATGCTCTCTTTTATCAAGGAGAGCAGATGCCTCAAGGGGAGGGACTTCTGAATCCTCCGCTACATGTCCCCTGTGTTTTCCCCCTTCCTCTTTTTCTGTGTTTTTCGTCCAAAGAAGTTTCCCACACAGATATACGCAGAAACTCTTAAATAGGAGCCTGGCTCTTTTTAAAGAAGGAGAGAGGTGAAAAGAGATAAAGACTTGTACCTGCTCAGATAAAAGGGTGGAAGGTCAGTATATTTAAGAAAGCTAAATCTTTTCAATGGAACCCAATGGTGTATTTGCATCTATGGAGCCAGAGATGGGCCTTGGGTCTTCATTTCTTTTATCACCTGGGGGCTCGAAATGAATTTTACAACTTGAGGTTCCATGATATAAGCAAGCAATTCCTAATTCAACATTACTTAGTGCAGAGGTATAGAAGTACCTACTGCTGCCAGTATGCTGAGGTGAGCCAGGATCAAACTCAAATGACATCCTGAAGTTAAAACAAAGCTGTTGTGAGAATAAAAGGAACCATAGGTATGTGGGAAGATGAACTATGAGTTCAATCCCTGGGTTCGCAGGATCAACAAAAGCTTTGTAAGTCTTACACATTTCCCAAATACTGTACAAAAGAGGTGGAGGTGAAATCAGCAGGAGAGAAAAGGAGACACGAATCCTTATTTCTCAGTTGAGAAAAACATCCGTTCCTTACAAGAGAAGCAGAAGCAAACTTTTTTAAAAAACCACATCTGGGGTCACATTTCTCATGACTGCCAGAAAAGGTGGGAAAAGTTAACAAAACATGGAAAAGTTACTTTTTTTGGACGTCAGCTACTGGATTCCTCCAGTCAACATAGCTACGTGTGGGGGGGGTGGGAGCTGTAGTCCAAAAAATAACGCTTCCAAATTCCGGTTGCCAGGCACCAAACGAAAAACGTCTCAGAGGGCCAAATCTACGCAGATGGTGTCTCCCCCCACCCCCCAATTCCTCACCTGATCAGGTAGAGTTCATTGTTCCATGGGTAGACATTCAGGACGGGCCCAACCCCGATCATGTGGTTGTGGCACCTCCCCACATTCTCAATGTACTCGTGCTTGAGCGGCACCTTGGTCAGGAGCTCAAAGTCCTCCGGGGCTCGCTGGAGCACCTGCTCGGCTGCGTAGAAGCCGTCCACCAGCAGCGTCCGGCCGCCGGTCCCTTCGTGGCGGAGGCAGTGGAACACCTGGATGCTGTGGAGGGCACGGGAAAACCACCGGCAAGTCAAAAGCAACGAGCAAGCTTAACATTCGGACAGGGCAGTGATTGTCGAGTCCAGGATCGTACAATCTGTCCGGTGAGCTGCTCACTGATCGTTCTCAGAAGACAAATTTGCTACTTCACTCATTACTAGCACATTACTTTTGGCATGCATGTACACACACACACAAACACACACAAACACACACACACACACACACACACACAAATATTTCCTCCTTAACACTTTACCAGTAGGTAATAAATACTGTTTACTTGTTAATCTTAACAAGTTTCTAAACGGAGAACGTTTGGGCCATATGTATCTTAATGGCCCAAACATTCTCCGTTTAGAAACATTTTAGGATTAACAAGTAAACAGTATTTGTTATCTACTAGCAAAGTGTTAAGACGGAAATATTACTTTTGCTGCCAGAAAAGTTAACCATGTTACTATTCTGACACATTATTTTTTTAATGATATTTGATTTTTACTCATTATGAAGAATTTACTTTATTTATTATTTGTTCAGCTGGGACACATACAAGAATACAAAAACTGCCAAAAAAAATCTCCCTACAAAGCAGTATTTTTAGGAATAATCGTTACTCCTTATGTTGAGCCCATCCTATGCCTTCCCAGTTATTATGTTACCTTCTAACATGTAAAAATGTTATGTTTAAAGAGAAATGCATTACATGTTTACCTGTAAAGCACTATTTCAAGAATTTTTCAGGTGCCCTGCCCAGATTACAGAATCCCAGAGATTATATTACACCCACAACTTTCGTTTGTCATCAGAAAAAATAAGTCCTCTATTTTTGGCATTAAAATCCAGCTGGCTTCTGATGTTTCATTAGGCCTTCAGCTTTTCTTTACACTCTTAAGGCCTAGAAACTTGTAGCTCTGGATACTAAAGCAGTGTCTTTGTGCTTTTTATCTTATTTCAGTTATCATTTCTTTGCCTCATATGCCTTCCCCTAAAGTCTTGTCCAAGGTCAATATTGTTTAGGGCCTAAAAGTCTTGTTATTCCAGCAAGACTTGAATTTAACACAGGCTGTAGTGCCTTACAAACTTCTGCATTGATGCCTCTGGAGGATGATATGCTCTGTTACAAGAATAGCCAGTTTGTAGAACCTTATACAATTTGGCCAGAACAAACATCAAGGCATCATCATAAGAGGGTGGCTTACTTTCCTACATTGTTCTAAAAGCTGGAAAAGAAATATCCATAGACAATGCTAATTTCAGAGTGCTCTACTATTATATGGTTGTATATCCAACCAACCACCTTCCCAGAAGGGTAAGCCCATGAGAAATACCCTGGAGAGGGTCTGTGTGTCAGAACAGACCAAGCACAGAGAAGCTTTTTCAGCCCAAAGGCCAAATTCAGTGCTCAAAAGGATGCCTACACTACACAGTTATAGCAGTTTGATTTCACTTTAATTGCCATGGCTTTATCCCGTGGGAAGTTGATGGTCGTTGGATGGGCACTTTGAAGTCTCTCCTGTCGTTTAGGATCTCTTTGTTTCTGGAGAGATCTGATCTGGGCACTGTAGCACATGCCCCAGTTATGTCCTGGCTTGATGACTGTAATTCGCTCTATGTGGGGCTGCTGATGGAAAGTGTCAGGAAATGTCCAGTGGGTCCAGAATGCAGCAAAAAGGCAGCTGATTGGGGCTGGTTCTAGGGATCACATAAACCCCCTGTTACAGCAGGTTCATTGGCTGCCCATCAGTTACTTGGCACAATGTAAAGTGTTGGTTTTGACCTATAAAGACCTAAATGGCCTTTATAGGCCATCTCAAAGACCGTATCTTCCATCATGAGCTGGCTTGGGTGTTAAGATCATCAGGAGAGGCCTTTCTCTCGGTCCCGCGTCTGATGGGGACACAGGAGAGCGCCTCTCTGTCGCTGCTCCCAGACTGTGGAACTCCCTCCCACTAGAGGTTCTTCGGCAGAGAATTCCAAGCAGCTCACCAAATTACAACTCCCAGGATTTCACAGGATGGCAGTGCTATGGCACTTAATGTAGGATCAAACTGCTTATAAATGCATAGTGTAGGCAGTCCTAGAGATGTTTGTAGAGGTGCATCCCCATAGGGAGTGGGCCAAAGACAAAAAGGGGGAACCAAAAATACCAGTAACGATTAGCTTGAAGTTTCTATTGTTGGTAACACAATGATGCAGTGCAAAAGATGGACCAACCACTCTACACTATTATGATTCTCCTGTACCCAACAGGACTTGCAACCTGTTCCCACTGATGGTGAAAAGATATACCTGGGATTTCATCCTCAGATGAAATAATGCAATAATCCACCCTAAACGCCATCTTCTGCAGAAAGATTTTTAAATTCATTTTTGTGTACATGACTGAAATAATCCTCTGATTATGTGCTCAGAGGAAGGGAACGGGAAACCACTTCTGAGCGTTCTCTACCTGGGAAACCCTGAAAAGATTCCTCATAAGTCAACATTGACTTGGCAGTACGTGATTGTTTTTCTTATTAAATCTTCTCACGCAATCCAATCGCTTTGACTAAAAGAACTACACGAGAACGGTCTCAATTTCCTGTCTATTTCTTGAGCGGCTGGCACGTACCCACAGGGCTCCTGGAAGTAGGTGGTATCTGTGTGCCGGTCCAAAGCCAGCTTAGTGTAGGCTGTGTCTCCCCGGGAGAAGTCAGACGTGAAATGCCACATCCTGCCATAGATGGTCTCTCTAAAAGAAAGGAGAAAAATAGTATAGGGTTAGTGAGAAAGCTCAGGGAATCAGCCTACGACTCAGCGGTCAAGAAGGCTTTCTAGATTCATTCATTTAGGAAAAGTCACTTTGGGGTTTACAACTTCCAGAATCCGTTAGCCAGCACATCCTCTGGCAGTGCTCGGAACACCGTCCAGACACAGTTTAAATAAATTAGTGTATGGAAAATATCAATGCCCTTTTGTTTTAGATGAGAACCAGAAGGGCTAGAGATTAAATCTAGAATTAGGAACATGCATTCTTGGTCACCCAACAGCAAAGCTTTCTCTTATTTCAACTGTTCAACCGGATTCAGTCCTCTGAATTCTCTAGGGTTAAACAAACTGTGAGCCCAGCCTTTTACACAGCGGTCAATTGCTCTTGCAGGAGTAAAAATATTTATGAATGTCAGAACAAATCTGGGTGGATCGGACAAGAAAACAGTCAAGGACGGAGAGAGAAAGAGAGGGAAGGAGGGAGAACTCAGTTAAGAAAAAGCCGAACAAGGGAGGAAAAGATGTGAATAATTCTCAGATGCAACAGTGAAAAGGTTAGGTAGGTAGGTAGGTAGGTAGGTAGGTAGGTAGGTAGGTAGGTAGGTAGGATGGAAGGAAGGAAGGAAGGAAGGAAGGAAGGAAGGAGGGTGAGTGGAGCTAGAGCTTCTTTGGCAGAGAATTCCAAGCAGCTTACCAAACTACAACTCCCAGGATTCCACAGGATGGCAATACTATGCCATTTAATTTGGGATCAAACTGCTACAACTACATAGTGTAGGCAAAATCTAGAGATGTTTGTAGAGGTGCACCCCCATAGTGAGTGGGGCCAAAGACAAAAAGGGGGAACCAAAATACCAGTATCTATTAGCTTGAAGTTTCTATTGTTGGTAACACAATGATGCAGTGCAAAAGATGGACCAACCACTCTACACTATTATGATTCTCCTGTACCCAACAGGACTTGCAACCTGTTCCCACTGATGGTGAAAAGATATACCTGGGATTTCATCCTCAGATGAAATAATGCAATAATCCACCCTAAACGCCATCTTCTGCAGAAAGATTTTTAAATTCATTTTTGTGTACATGACTGAAATAATCCTCTGATTATGTGCTCAGAGGAAGGGAATGGGAAACCACTTCTGAGCGTTCTCTACCTGGGAAACCCTGAAAAGGTTCCTCATAAGTCAACATTGACTTGGCAGTACGTGATTGTTTTTCTTATTAAATCTTCTCACGCAATCCAATCGCTTTGACTAAAAGAACTACACGAGAACGGTCTCAATTTCCTGTCTATTTCTTGAGCGGCTGGCACGTACCCACAGGGCTCCTGGAAGTAGGTGGTATCTGTGTGCCGGTCCAAAGCCAGCTTAGTGTAGGCTGTGTCTCCCCGGGAGAAGTCAGACGTGAAATGCCACATCCTGCCATAGATGGTCTCTCTAAAAGAAAGGAGAAAAATAGTATAGGGTTAGTGAGAAAGCTCAGGGAATCAGCCTACGACTCAGCGGTCAAGAAGGCTTTCTAGATTCATTCATTTAGGAAAAGTCACTTTGGGGTTTACAACTTCCAGAATCCGTTAGCCAGCACATCCTCTGGCAGTGCTCGGAACACCGTCCAGACACAGTTTAAATAAATTAGTGTATGGAAAATATCAATGCCCTTTTGTTTTAGATGAGAACCAGAAGGGCTAGAGATTAAATCTAGAATTAGGAACATGCATTCTTGGTCACCCAACAGCAAAGCTTTCTCTTATTTCAACTGTTCAACCGGATTCAGTCCTCTGAATTCTCTAGGGTTAAACAAACTGTGAGCCCAGCCTTTTACACAGCGGTCAATTGCTCTTGCAGGAGTAAAAATATTTATGAATGTCAGAACAAATCTGGGTGGATCGGACAAGAAAACAGTCAAGGACGGAGAGAGAAAGAGAGGGAAGGAGGGAGAACTCAGTTAAGAAAAAGCCGAACAAGGGAGGAAAAGATGTGAATAATTCTCAGATGCAACAGTGAAAAGGACTAGACGTTTCCAGGCAAATGAGCTGCTGAGAACCCGTGGGAGTCAAGCCGTCTTCAGGAAGAACAGAGAGAAAACATAAGCAGGCAACCAGTGCAATTTTTTTCCCTGTCCTAATCTTTAAGGACAAACCAAGGGCAAGCTGGTAATTTCATTTTAATTGGATGGAAAATGCCTTCTCTCGCCTTTTCCTCTAGAGCCTGGAGGGCCGTTTTGATCTCTTCGTCTCCCATAGCCAAGGCTGCCCTCCTCACCCTCTCCTGTCAAAACAGGAAATACAGCTCACTGCGAACACTAAAACATTCCCATTGTCCCAAGAAATCACCCCTCATTTTTCTTTGCTTAGCTCCAGGTCTCCTGGAGGGGAATCTGTATCCGGCCCACGCATCTGTGTAGCAACACAATGACCCGCTTCAGACATGATGGTTTTAGAAGAAAACATGGCAGGAAACGGTGTTTGTGCTAGAGAAACAAGAAACGTCCAGTATATTAGGATCAGCAGAGTGTTAGTATGAAAGGATGTGGACTTTGGCCTGGATGGGGGGAAAAAATCAACAGAAAATTTGTTTGGTGAAGAAAATAGTTGAACTGGGCTCTTTTTTCTCTCCTTGGGACCTTCCATGACATTTCCAATAAAAGCTTCCATCTTTTTGTAAAGACCAGCTTTATTCATAGACAACATCCCTCCAGTCCACAGAATGATAAACAACAACACAGGTGGTTTCACATTTTGTTGTGGTTTGTTAGAAATGTGCTGGTGTCTTTTGAGACTGAAGGATGCTTAATTGGCTGGTGTCTGTTGTTTCACTTCTTAATCTGTGTCGCAGGTCCAGCTAAAGGTCTATAAACTGTGAGCTCGTCCGGTTTAGGGGTTGGAGTGGACAGTTATTGATAACTCCAGATTCTAGTCTGCTCTGAGACCCGAAACTTGATAGGCTACCGACGGCAGCTCACCTCAGCCTGTTATACCTCATAGAGGTCTTGCTGTGAAACCAAAGTGGGCAGAAGCAAAGCCACAAATGCTGCCAAGAGCCTACTGATGGAAAGCTGAGATAACTCAGTGAGTTGGAATACCTGGCTGTGGAGTCAGGGGTCGGGGTCCATACTGTGCCTCCCAGGAAAACAGCCAGCCCAGGGAGCCTTGGGCAAGCTGTGTTGTCCCAAGGTTGCCCCTAGAGGATGGGCTTGTAAACCACTTCTAAGTCCTCTCTACCTAGAACCGCCCAAAAATTGTTGCCATAAGTCTGAATTGACTTAGCAGCACACAGTTATTAAGGTGACTCTATGGTAGTTATGTCTTCTGCAAAACTGGATGGTTGCAATAGAGCTACCTTAACAATCTGCTGACAAGCGCTGGTAGGCAATTTCCTCTGCTCTCTCTCTGCTGAGTCCTGTGTGATCTGCTCAAATGAATTTACCCAGTGACACCCAGCTTCCCAGGTGCTACTTCACAGCCAATCATGTGATATTTTTCCTGCTGTGTAGTTACATGTAAAGAACTGTAAGAAGTGCCAGCAAGGTCCTTAAAGGGCTCATCAATGTTTAACACCTTATTTCATCAAACTGTTGTGAAGAGTCACTGTGATTTGGCCAGGTTTGGTGCTACATGTGAACAAGGGCAGGGAGAAAGCTCCACAGCAAGCTGTTGCTCTGTAATAAGCAGAGGGAATTCTTTAACGCATTCCTCTTCTCTGTAGTCTGCAGTCTCAGCGATAAGTTTGTAAATGCTGATAAGGAAAAAGCTAGGTAAATGATGCGACAAGCAGTGCAATTGCATTTAGGTAACTGGTTTCATTAAATTGCCTGTAATCCTTTCTGCCTTCCTTTTGGATAGGCACAACCAGTAACTGCTGAGAGCAAAATTCAAG